TATAATCATTATCTGAAAATTAATGACTCAACTTCAAAGTCACCCTGTATAGATTGTCAGTATTAACAACTTTAACCGAGTATCTTTTGTAGTCTTAGCTAGGTGTATTTTAACTATGAGTGTATGGTGCCTCCTATCGCCTGCTGGAGCCTGGTGACTTTGATCTACTGTACAAAATGGCCATGGTCTCAAATGACACTTTAGAATTGTTCACCATTTGAGGTTTGATTTTTTCAAAAGACCGTACTCACTTGTTTGCTTTCCGTTTCGTCTGACTCTAAGACTATAACTGAAATCATCATTTTGTAATAGGTGTACTCGTAATAGATTCATTATTTTCAGTACATGGAGTAATGCAGAAGCTGTTAATTCCATTAGAATCGCTTAAGGATTGTGCAAGTGAAAAGGAAGGGACATTATTATATATATGTACATATTTCTCACATACTAAAGAAAATTAGATTCATAGCATATAAAATAAAATTTCTAACCGGTATATTAACTGAATATTATCTACGAATAATATATCAAGCTTTAGTCGAACCACACATAACATATGGTATAGTAGTGTGGGGTGCTGCATGCACGACATACTTTAACGATTTAGATGTACTTCAAAGAAGAATTTTAAAATCAATGTTAGGCAAATCAAAATTATACCCAACTAATGACTTATATAATGATGCACAAGTATATGATACTAAACAACTTTACTTCTTACGTACCATCACTCATTATCACAAAACTATTAGTGAACACGACATAATTAAACATAATCATAAAACCAGATATAAATTACGCGCAAAAAATGTTCCTAAACCAAACAAATCCCTAATGAAACGATGTCACCTGTATATAGCTCCAAAATTGTACGAACATTTACCAAATAATTTAAAACAATTACGCAATACATTAGGCTTCAAAAAAAAATTAAACAAATTTATTAATACGATTGGGAGAAATCAAATTAATAAAATAATCTCAAATATTATACAATAAATGCTCTACCATACTTAACAATAATTTCTTTTTTCTCTCTATTTCATTATATTTTGCAATTCAACATACATATGATCCATGCACAGGCGTTGTCCTCCTATGGATATATTATATTTATTTACTCGTTTCATGTTCCCTGTATTTTAGAGTAAATAAATATTATTATTATTATTATTATTATTGATACAAATGTTTTTCAAAGTTTACTAAAATTGTCTTTCATTGCTCTCATTGCCATCAATGAAAGATTCTCATCTCTTTGTGGTGCCTAAGATGATGTTCGGTTCTATTCAACTGATAAGTGCATAATGATCTATCGTTCTCATGGAAAATCGATTTAAGATTATCTGTAAGCCAAGGAACGGGCGGCCTGCTAACTCTGACGGCCTAAGGCCTGAAGACCCATTGGTACCGTGGGGCTATGGGGAGATTCAGGAGAAAGGGGAAACGCCACACGGACTCTACGAGATCCGCCGGGTGGTACCTCCGCGTTCGACGGAGACCGTCTACCACCTACGGACAATCACAACATCCATAGTCAAGAGAAAAATTTCTCCTGGGACGGGATTCGAACCCGCGCAGCGCACGGCGACTGATCAGGAGATCGTAGAGTCTACTACTGCGGCCACCTCTGCTGCTTATGGTCAACAAATGGCTTGGCATAAAACATCTATACTATAACTATCTAAAACTGTAATGACTCATCGATGTTCACGTGAACATCACTTAACTACCAGTAGTCGGCTGTTAATATACGGGGTATGAATGTTTAACATGGGTGAACTAGATTTGTCACATGCTTACTAAAGAGTGGTTTGAAACATATTGTAAGTCAAAAATTTGGCAATTACCTTTATTCATCGTCGCTTCCACTTACATCTGACAGTAATAAACTGTCGCTATCGCTTTCCTCGTTGAAATTGACTATAACTGGCTCTATGATGGTGTCGATGTGGTGGTCAAGCTGCCACATTTTTGTTTCTTCCTTCACAACATGACGGAAAGCATTCTGCCAAGCTTCGGGCGTTACTAGATGTATGGAAGTCACAAGTAAAACCTTAACGTCTGGTAATTTGAAGGTTGTGTTATGGCGCGCAATATAACCCTTCACTTGAGCCCAGATGAGCTCTATTGGGTTCAGTTCACAGTGGTAGGGCGGTAACCGCAGCACAGTGACACCACATTGACGGGCCATCTCATCAGTCACGTAACTAATGTTCGCAGGTTTGTGCTGTTTAATTTTTTCATACAATTCCGCTTTCACACATGAATCCCTTTTTCGCGCAACCATTGCTGCATGTCACTTTTTCGAGATCCCATAGTCGGTACACGTTCGGCTCGACGACTATGGTAGGAAGCATTATCCATGATGATCACAGAGTTGGGCTCAACTCGCTGAAGCACCCCTTGAAACCAGCTCTCGAAGCAGCTGGCATTCATTTCGTCATGGTAATCACCTCCTTTCTTAGAGACGAAAATCAAGTCACACTCTCTTCTAAAAAGCCACTATCGCTACCAATATGAGTTACGATCAATCTTTGACCTTTCCCTGACGGTCCACGAAGACCTGTTGACAAACCTTCAATGCTTGCTTGTCGGTTACTCACTACGTTTTTGTCTATCCAGGTTTTCTTAACTGTGTGACCTGCATTTACCCATGTCTCGTCCAAATAAGAGATTTTTCTGCTTTGTCGCCTATATTCAATCATTTCGCGTAGGTATTTTCGACGCCAGGCGACTATTTCAGGTCTCTCTATCAGTACTGACTTCCGATTACGCGCTTCGTAACGAAAATTAATTTCGTGCAGGGATTTCCTCATTACCTCGACGCTCATTTGGGGTATAATTTCAGTTTCCTTGATCGCTGCATGTACAGCCTTGAGGGTTGGTATCTCATTTCTAAAGAAGAATGAATGTACGGTTCGCTTTAACGCCATTTTGCTATCGTCATCCAATTTAACGGCCTTTCGTCCCTTCAAATTAAACTTTGGATCGGTAGTAGCTCCAGTTTTCTTCTTTTCATTCACCACCCTGCGAATGGTCCACTCTGGCACGCCTGTCCTACTTTCACAACTCGCGAGTGCATCTCCCTGCGACATAGTTCTGTTCAGATAATTGAACACGTTGAGCACGATTTCTTTCGCGTCCCTCTTCAGTGCTTTACGAAGCCGTCTACTTGTTCCCTGGCTTTCAGTACTTCCACTCGTGCCATTTGTACTCTCCATGGTTAAGTATAACCAAAACAGTAACCACAGAAACCACAACAATAACAATCACACAACAATTCTTATAAAAACACACAATATGCGATCGCTCAACGAAACACGTTCCAATGCGTTGCCGACGCCTATGAGTCTGCCGGTCGAGGCGCGTCTTTGATTTCATTGGTTCTACCGGCGGAGAACAATCAGCCATTATTTACATCTCTGTCTGTGCTGTTGACCACCGCAAAGCCACAGAAACGACATATATGTCGTACGCTATACGGCTGTACTGGAAGGAAGCCGGGATCGAGCTCCGATCACGTGTTTATCACGCGTATGAGTCATTACAGTTTTAAATAGTTGTAGTATAGTGGTCATAGGCGTCCTATTACCTGCATATTCTTTACGGTGCACTCAACTCCAGCGTACCTGACGGATGTAACCTTACCAGCAAACCTTCCAGGATCACTATAACGTAGATGGTTGGCTTTAAATTTGCAGGAAGTGAAATTTATATTCAGCAGCGTCACATGGCAAACGTAAGTGACACGCCTTTGTAATGTCTCTCATCGCGCTACGACAGCGTTGAGCCACCAAGATGGCGGATGGTGTAATGAATACGCAAGAAATGATACTCTCAGTGCCTTGTGAGGAGTCAGCAGTTGCGCTCGTCTTGCATACGATCTCAACTACGTTCGCCTTACTTCTGTTTGCTCAGTGTGTTGCACGGTTTTTATCGAAGCTCAGTCTAAGGCGGAATTTTATCACCTGCAAATTCAAACATTTCGTATTTGCAACAAAAAATCATAGACACATCCGCTTTGTTTTAGAATGTGTATAGTAAGCCCTTAGCCATGCCATGTGAATCTATATTTTCTCCTTCTACTATTGTTGAAACTTTACGGAAATGAACTTATACAATAAATAGAACAAGTCGAATTTTTGTGCGGCATCTGAAACTAACTTTAGATCTGGATAACAGGAAATATATTAAAACTTCTGAAACCTCATTTTTATGCATATATATGATATGATTTCGGAAGATGTTATATGTGGAACAACATCGAATATGGAACTCTCTGAGTCGAGGAAATGACAAAGCCGAAGCATGAATAATGCATTGTAAGGAGCTTTTGGAATTGTCATTTTATATGTAATAGCTGCATACAGAAGTGTACAAGCGGTATTCGAAGCGCAAACGAAATATTGCTGCCACCAAAGAGAACCACTCAAAATATATTGCAGAAGAGGCCACAGTGAAGTTGGCTGGATTTGTTGTATTATGTTCTGATTAAAGGTCTCCATGCACACAGAAGTTTTCTAATTGTCAGAGATATCGGAGACAAATTGTAAAGAATTCTTCTAATTGTTACTCAGATATAAGAAGGAAGGTCACTTTATATTGTACTCCACTGATTTTTCTTAAAACAAAAACTAGTACATCTCTTATCATTTTTTATCAATAAATTTCAAGGATAATTGTCACTTTAAGATAAATCATTGGCGTACCACCACTGTCTGTCAAATAGCGTACGAACGCCACTGGTGGAAATTAAAACAATGTCTCTTGATACACACGAGGGATGTCTATACAGCTGCTGGATTTTCTGTCTTATTTAAATAATTTAATTTTGCCCACAGATGACTGATGCCATGTCCGAATCTAAAAAGAAATGTAGACAGTGTTGATTATTTGAAATTTGGCTTCATTCCATCATTGCCGGACAAACAATCGCCTATGTGCCTTTTATGCAACAAAGTTTTGGGCAATGACGCTATGAAACCATCTAAACTGCAAGATCATCTGAGAAGATGCCACCCTGATAAAACAGAGAAAGATTTGAAATAATTTCAAACACTCAAAGATAAATTTCAGAAGAGACCTACACTGGACAGAATGTTCGCTCCGACGTCACAAATAAATGATGATGGTTTGCGGGCGTCTTACAATAGCTCGTTACTTATAACAAAATCCGGAAAACCGCATACTATCGGAGAGAAGTTAATTTTGCCAGCCGTTGAAGAGGTTTTAAAAACTGTTTTACACAAACCTGCATCTGATATCATTAAAAGAATTCCCTTAAGCAACAATACTGTTGAAAGACGTATTGATGAAATGAGTTCTGATATTGAAAGCTTCTTATGTAATTATTTGCAAACGACCCATCTGTCTATACAACTGGACGAGTCAACTTTACCTGATAATGCAGCATTATTATTGGCATATTTTCGTTTCATTATGAATCAACAAATCTACGAAGAACTGCTCTTCGCAAGAACTTTGATAACCGACACTAAAGGTGAGTCAATATTTCATGTTTTGAAGGATTACTTCATTGAAAAAGCAATTTCTTTATCAAATATAATATCAGTAGCTACAGATGGAGCACCTGCCATGGTTGGACGTTATCGTGGATTTATAAGCTATTTAAAACAAAATGTGTCAGGGGTGTTAGCAATACATTGCGTCATCCATCGACAACATTTAGTTGCTAATAATTTGAGTGTTAGATTGCATGAATCACTTCATTTAGTCATTGATGCAGTAAACCGAATCCGAAGTAACGCGTTGAATACGCGGTTATTTGCGCAGTTGTGTGAAGAAAATGACGAACACCTTCATCAATTACTCCTTCACACTGAAGTACGCTGGCTGTCGAAAGGCTTAGGTTTGACAAGATTTTTTGCACTTTTTGAGACTATTTTAGAATTTCTGGATGTTAAAGATAAAATTTTAAAAGAAAATTTAATGAAGAGGAAAACAGACATCGCCTTTTTAACAGATTTGTTTACAAAATTTAATATGGTTAATTTGCAATTACAAGGCGACAGTTTAAATTTGATTAAAACAAAGTCCATCTTATCAGCGTGTCTTGCCAGAGTTAAACTAATGAAGCAAAATATTGGAAGACGACGTTTCAACTTACGTTCAACATTTAAATGCCCTCTATTCAGATTCTGAATCTAGGTTTGAGGATATTTTGACTATGGTAATACCACCGTGGATAATTAATCCATATGGTGACATAGAAGAAACGAATGTCATAATACAAGAGGAACTGACTGAACTAAGTACAAACGAAGAACTTCAGGTTCAGTTTAAAAACGGATATCAGCAATTCTGGCTGCAAAACGACATACCCGTTACTTATCCCGTATTATGGAATATAGCGACGAAATTTTTAATTTCCTTTCCATCGTCATACCTAGTGGAAAGGGGATTCAGCGCTGTTACCAATCTCCTAACGAAAAAATGAAACAGACTGGACATCATTAGCCGAGGAGATTTAAGATTAACCCTTATAAAATTGACGCCAAATGTTGATAATTTATTATTAAAGGTTCATCCTTCTCACTAAAAATATTGACTTATTGCTTATGTTATTTTATTTATAGCTTATTTTATGTTTATTGGTGTCTGACCAATAAATGCCCGCATTGGGAATAAGTGCCCGCATTGATTTTTTCAAAGAACCCCCCTTTATAGAAAATATTTTTTTTTAAATTATTCTGAAAATTCAAGGATAGGTACACACTAAAATTCTTTAATTTTTTGCCTATTTTTAGATAACTTATACGTATAAGAAGCGGAATTCAATCAAACTAACAGTGAAATTATTGGAGAACATACGTTTATGTTATAATTAATAAACGAACTCGCTTATTATACTATTTTGAGCAAAAAATTTTTTTTCATTATTTTTCACTTTTTTTTATTTTATCCTTTTTATTTTTTTTTCAATGCGGGCACTTATTCCCAATGCGGGCACTTATTGGTCAGACACCTGCTTATTTAATGTTACGTATATTTTGCATAACCGATACAAAATTGTATTTTGAGTAGTTTTAATTTAAATTCAATTAATAAATGTATAAATTAACATGTGTTTTTACTTTAAGTTTTTAACACTAAACTTCACTACAGTTCGAAATTTACAGGAAATCAATATCAGGTAAGTAGGGGGTCTACCTATCACGGAAAAACATGGCAAGGGGTCTACGACACAAAAAAGTTTGGGGATCTCTGGTATAGATGATAGCTGCTCAACTTTGGCTCATTCAGCCAAGACCATGCTGATGAGTTACCAAATATTACGAAACAGCTGTTCATGGTTGGCTATCTCTAGTTGAATGAACAAACACCCTCTTACTAGTTACGAAATCGTAGTATATATTTTGATACACTGTCGCCGCCTATGAGCAAATGCAGCTTACACGAGAAAATCTTGTCATCTAACATTTAGGACGCTTAAGTGGGTCATGATAAGTAAAGACTCTCAAATTAACTCGACAACGTTCATTTGGGAACGTGAATATACACATCATTCTTTGCTCTGTTGAAAGACGTTCCAAGACCCTGGAACGATTTGTTGAACTTAGAAAGAAGAATCTAAACCAGACCATCGAGAAGGCAATATCCGAACGTTCCAGTTTCGCAGTTAGGGTGAAGGATGTTGAAACTTTATACGGCGCCTAACCTACTTTCTATTTCGTTTTTGCGTGAAAAACGACACGTATCGAGATATCTGATAGGGAATCTGGACAGCGGCGTCCCGCCTAGAAATAGAAAAGGTCAGAAAGATATAGGAATATTCCAGATTTGTCCAGTTTGAGGAGTCTCCCAGTCAGTTGGCGTTATTGGTATTTACGGAATCTATCTTTAGTAAGGCTTTTATTTCATCCTGATTGAATAGTTAGTTTCTGTTACTTCACGAGAAATTTCAACGTTTTTGTGAATAAAATATATCCACAAGCCATCTGCCTCTAACGGATTATTTAATAAACTAGCTCCAGTGATGGTAGGCAGGTACCTATGTTTCATATCGCATCCACTTGCGTGGAATATGTAACAAAAACCGTTGAAAGCATCACTGGAAAATAGTAGCTTAGAGCACCAAAAGGCACTAACTAGAGTAGACAGATTCATAGAAGAAGGTTGCTGAATGGAGGTAAGTAATAATAATAATAATAGACGTCTTTATTTATCCACAATTACATTGTAATATAGCCAAATGTAAGACTTACATGGCGAAGTTTAGCATGCTGCTACTCTTACACTTAAACATGTAGCCTCTAGCAGATGTTCAAAAGAATACACTATCCACAAACAGATTTGGTTCATCACATCGACAGTAAAATTTAAAAAAAAGAGATAAAGGCAAACCCAAGTACACCAAAAAATTCTTAATCTGAATTAAAGATGGAGTAAAACAGAAATGAATGATTACGTAAATTATTTTTTTGGAGGGTTGAGTAATAATGAACATTCTTTATATACTTTAGAAGGGTCATTATAAATAATAGCAACATTGTAAGAAAAACTGCGTTTAAAAAGTGTAGACGTACGCAGGGATATTCTAATATTATTTTCTCTGAGAGTTCTACAGTGAACATCATTATTAAATAAAAAAAATTTCCCTCAAGTAATAAGGTTTAGACGTGAGCAGCAATGTGTAAACAAAAACCGAATATAGTCAACGCCAAACAAAGTGGCGTGCACGTCATCACGATAAAAATTCGCCGACCTAATGCCTAAGTTTCTATCACAAACAATTGCTCTATTGCAGTTTCATATTAATGTGATATATAAATTGTAAAATGGTTATTACTCTCTTATTATGGTTAATAGTCATATAAACATTGTTATTAAAACATCACATAAGTTGCTTTCTGATAAATTTAGACGCATTATGCGAAATAAAATGTTTTGCAAACGCTCCAATCACTTATCGACATGTAAACGCACTAAACCGATTTCGCAGCGTTGACACATTGTCACCTTGAAACTTATTTAAACTGGGAACTGACATTTGTATTAATTTTGACACTGAATCAATTTGTGGCATTTCAAATCTTTATAAATCCTTTGGCCCCGCATACTGTAAATCAACAACTGTTTGTTTCAAAACAAAATTATTCATTTTACGAGTAGATAAAGGCAATTTTGGTATATAAAGATGCCCAAACAGTTAAATAGTCGGTGTAAGGAACTCGTGGCCTCGTTAATGCACTACTTTGAGCAAGAAAGGGACAACAACGAGCCTTTGTTGCCTTTAAATGCTGTTCAAGGGGTAGGTTACTAATAATTATATGTAATGTATATTAATAATAGTGAAATTTTATTTCATTTTTTGTAGCGTGTTGCTGCTGCTTTAAAAATTAGTTTAAGGACAGTTAGTCGTATTTCCGAGGGTGTGAAAAGTGATGCAAATTTAGAATCGCCCAAGAAAAAGCGGAGTTACATTAAACGTGTAACCAACACAGCGACATTGGATACAAGTGCCATTCGAGAAGTGATCTATAATATGTATTACAAAAGTAAGATCTTATTATAATAACTTATCAGAAATTTGCATTAATTTGTTAACTAAATTATAATGTCATATTACACATGGTTTCAGAAGAATAAGTTACGATACAAACTTTATGGTCTCGATTAAGAGATAGGGCATTATTTGATGGTAGTGCCACGTCTTTAAGGCGGTTGCTTAGAGATCTTGGATTTAAGTGGCTTAAGGACAATCCGCGACGAGGGCTCATGGAACTACCAAGTATAGCTTTGAAAAGGGTGGAATTTCTAAGGCAATACAATCAAGCCAAGGTTGAGGCCTTATACCAGTTTGTCTTCCTCGATGAAACTTGGATATTTCAAAATGGGACCATAGGTGGCTCTTGGCAAAATGGAAACCAAAAAAGCGTGAAAGCTATTAAAACAGATGGTAAAAGGTATGTACTTTTACACAATTTGCACTATAAAATTTAAAACTAATATATTTTAGATACATTATATTACATGCTGGAAATGAAAATGGGTTTATTGAGGGTAGTGAAGCGATATTTTCTTCGAAAACAAAATTGAGCGATTACCATGGAGAGATGAACCAGGACAATTTTTTGAAATCAGTTATTAGAAAAATTGGAGAGTCCATCTATGATTATACTGGATAACGCCCCTTATCACAGCATGATATTGAACAAAGTGCCCAACAATGCATGGACAAAAAAAAATATCCAAGACTGGTTGACAAATCAAAGCATACCATTTTTAAACACAATGTTTAAAACAGAGCTATTGAGTATTGTTGCTCGGTACATAATGCTTCTTAATTATATATATTTTGGTCGACAGTTTATATTTCTTTTGTTTATTCCTATTCTTAAAATAACTGCTTTTTTAGAAACAAACCACCTAAAATATACGTGATTGATGAATTGGCGGAACAACATGGGCACAAAGTTCTTCGTCTGCCTCCTTACCATTGTATATTTAACCCTATTGAGTTAATTTGGGGCATAGCAAAAGGTTACTGTAACAGACATATTGGTAGAGATGGTAACAGTGAAAAAGACTGTTTGGATATGTGGAACGAGGCTCTACAAACGGTTACCCCAGACATGTGGAAAAATAGTGTTCGACATACTGAGCAAGAAATTTTTAAATGGTATGAAAGAGAACGAATTTTTGATCGACCAGACATCGAACCTTTAATAATCAACTTTGAGAGTGATGAAGATTCAGATTCAGACAGCGCTGAAGAAAGAAACTCCGACTAACTTTATTGTACAGAAAAAGCTTACACCAGTAGCTTACCTAATTTTAGAATGCATTTTTCTGTATGAATTCTGTAAAATAAATACCATGCATAAAATTTGGAGGACCCCATTTGGATTTTTATTCAGTACCTTTAAGCTATCAATTAAATATGGTAGTTTCATAGTGTCATCTGATCAATAATTGTCATACTTAATGATTATGCAAGTACAGATCTATAATTTTATTATACTATTATTTTTGTTCTCATTTGAGGTTAATATTGCTTATAAACCTAGATATGTAAATAATAAATTTTATTATTTTACAAAAAGTTTGGCAACAATGTAAATTTTTCAACACACCCACCTTGATGATGTGCACGCCACTTTGTTTGGCGTTGACTATAGTGATACTTGACCATGTCATTAATTTTTAACCAGTTGAGAACGGGATATTTCGCTGATACATGATCAAATTTACGTAAGCCAAAGATGAAACGTATACCATTCTTTTGAATAACTTGAATAACGTTTTTAGTGAAATTGTCAAAATAAGTATAGTACGATATTACAATAATTTAATATAGATATGAGTCAATTAGTCCTGGTCGGTCTCACGAAA